CATTTTAAAAGCATTGTCTTAAGAAGCAGTATTGTGGGAGATTCAAGTGATAATGCTCATCCTTTAATGTCACACAGGCCAGTTCTAATGTCAAGGAGGGTGACACTAACCATTGGCAGGCTTTACACATGTTATAATTGTACAAAGGAGCATGACAGCACCAGATTTTCTAAGAAGACTAAACCTTGATTTTACTTGCTTTTGAAAACCTCTTTGATAAGAGAAAAATACTTAGAATATCGGCTATGAGCACCTCTTGAATTTTCCATGGCAATTTGCAACATTTAACTGATGAAAAGGATAAATTTTCCAGCATCTGTTCTGCGTTGTCTCAGTTTTCTCTGTGGTCCTTTTGCATTGTTAAAAATGTAAGTACTTTCCTGCGTTGATCTTCTTGCTGACTTTACATCAGTTGATGGAGATTTAAACAACAAAGTTATATGCTTGCGTAATACAGCAAAAAGTCTCTTGAGTTTTAATTTGCCGACACATTGTGAAAGGGAAGGAAAAAGGCTGCTACTGGGGGTGATGTTATTTTAAAAAAAAAACAAAACGTGACCCTGACGAGAAAATAAGCTCCCAAAAGCATTTAATATGTACCAGTTAGTATCAAAAAACAGGCCGCTGCTGAAAACTCTGCACAGCTAGTCTGCTGCAAAGTACTGTGTTTATGGCAACTGACATTTGTTAAAAGTGGAAGCAAAGACTTCACGTGTTATTAGCTTATGCTGGGATGCTGATGTGAACATATATTAGAAAATTTCTACCTAAGCATACATTGCAGGAGATGCGGTTCACTGGGGCAAAAATGTTTTGTAGAGCCACTTTGGTGGGAAAGAACTTCAACTTGGATGCAAACAAGTCTACTGGGAACATAAAGTTACTCTGAGTCTTTGTGGACGGACTTAGACCTCTCCAGATTTAGCTAACTATGTTCATTTGTCAAATTCTACAACAAATTAAGTCAATTTATGATTCATGGAGATTAGAACATTTGAAATAACACAGCAGTTTCCTACTTAAAACTTTTCTGAATATATTGATGATGCAGTTTCTTCAGCGTACCACTGTGCCAGAAAGATCCATTTTTGTTTGTTTGAGGTTTTGGTTTTTGTTTTAATTTTAATAAAAGCACCGCATTTGTACAGCAGTATTTGCAACAGAACTTTTCAATATGGCATACAGATTACAATTCAGAATTAGGAAAATGTATTTGACTGTGGTGAAGTAGGGTCCCAAAGTAGCGTGTCCATCCTAAAGACAGACATGCCAACCACTGCAGGGTTAGATGCTTACTGTTTCAAGGAGATGGATAGGCAGAAGGGTGTATGTCCATGTGTTCAGGAAGCACATACAAAGACTGTTTATTGGCAGGTATATTATTTCCAGAGGATGGGTACTTTGCATGTTTTCTTAATTCTGTGCCATTTTAAAGATACCTCAGATTGTTCATCCAAAAACAGGTAAGAAAAATGGATGCTTTCTTCTAAAGGCCAGAGTTAGTAGCTGGAATTTGTGTGGGGCATGTTTCAAAAGGGATGTTTCACTCGGTGGTGGGGTGGTTGAAAAAGCAACAGATACAAAATAAGTGCTGTTCACCTAAATTAGGTGTTGCACCTATTACCTCCCCATTTATATTTCCCAAGGGAAATATAAATATTTCATACTATGACTTGAAGAAAAATACCTTGTGTTCCAAATACAACTTTCCCACATTTTGTTTACTCCCATAGCTCACTGATGTATGATTCTGTGAAAAGCCATGGAATCACATTATGTCTAGGACAGGGGGAAATGGCATGTTTTTCCCCAGTTCCATGCAGCTAAGTGCAATGAATGGCATCATGAGTGACATTATAATTACTGCTCACCAAGAGAAGTATAATGCAGATATAATTTAATCCCCCTCATTCATGCTTTCCCAGGAACAAAGCGTTCTACACAGGTTAAAGATTTAATTTTTAAAGATAATAATGGTTTTAACAAGATAAGCGTCTGCATAAGAGGTGAAGAACAAACCACTAATGTTTCTGTTGCTTATCTATTACTCTTTATCTCTCTCATCTGACTGTGGACAGCAGTTTCCATTTGACAGTAGAAAGCTGTTGTTTTCAGTAGTTCACCAGTAGTGTTATGGCCATGGTGTATGCAAGGACAGAAATGTGAACATTCCAACAACACATCTCTGTCATGGAGAAGAAAGGTACACTCTACATAATAAGAGTTTCGTAATTTAGCAGAGTATTATTAGTATAAGTGCAGAACACCAGGAGGAAAACAGGAAGGGGAAAATGATGGTGATTAGCTTATGCATGTTATCTAAGGAAACCATCAAGAGCACTTGACATGAGATCTTAATTGGGACCAGACAGCCATGCTGTCTTCTCAGACTACAGCTAATTTGCCAAAGGCTTAAAACTAAACCCAAACTAATTCTGAGTAGTTTAAAAGCTGCGCTAGAAGAAGAGGAAGATATGAGCAGATAGCAGCTGATCTGGAGAGGGAGAAGCTGTGAAAAGGATTGGTTGGTAATCAGTGCAGAGGGTGACAGATGAGGTGACAGAACTTGGGTAAGTATGAAAGTAGGAGATACTTCCCTCATTATTCAGTTGTGCATTAACTGTCTCTGCTTGCCCAGGAGGGCTGTAGGAATGAAGCCTACTAAGTCAGGGTAGGCTGACCAAAAATCACAAAAATCTTCTGAGGAGACAGGTCCTGGAACAGAAGAGTGGAAATGAGGAAAGAGGTGAGAAGAGGAGTGTTTCCTAGAAGGATTACACAGTTTAATGTGTTAGTTTGCCCTGCAACTGTAATTATTGGAGAAAAGACTTCCAAGCTGCTGTGGGGTTTAGCAATTGACAAAGAATTTTTGTGACAAAAAAATTCATTAGTAAAAGATTTTTTAGGATTTGGATGTCAGTGTGACTGCCTTCATCAGATACAGAAATCCTCAGCTACAATTCGTATGCTGAAGTGTCTGCAATACAAGCAAGGGTCTCATCCTAGAGCATCCAGTGGCCCAAGAGCTAGCATTGGCTTGGACAGGTGTACTCTTCGCTGGGTAAAACACTGGCTGGATGGCCAGGCCCAAAGAGTTGTGAAGGGAATTAAATCCAGCTGGCAGCCAGTCACAAGTGGTGTTCCACAGGGATCAGTACTGGGGCCACTTCTATTTAATATCTTTGTTAAATTTACCATGGACGAGGGAATCGAGTGCACGCACCCTCAGCAAGTTTACAGATGACACTAAGTTGGAAGGGAGTGTTGATCTGCCTGAGAGTGGGAAGGCCCTGCAGAGGGACCTGAATAGGCTCAATCAATGGGCTGAGGCCGACTATATGAGCTTCAACAAGGCCAAGTGCTGGGTCCTGCATTTGGGTCACAACAACCCCATGCAGCGCTACAGGCTTGGGGATGAGTGGCTGGAAAGCTGCCAGGAGGAGAAGGAGCTGGGGGTGTTGGTTGACAGTGACTGAACATGAGCCAGCACTGTGCCCAGGTGGCTAAGACGGCCAATGGCATCCTGGGGTGTATCAGGAATAGTGTGACCAGCAGGACCAGGGAACTGATTGTGTCTCTGTACTCGGCACTGGTGTAGCCGCACTTCGAATCTTGTGTTCAGTTTTGGGCCCCTCACTACAAGAGGGACATTGAGGCACTGGAGTG